AGCCCCAGGTGGGGCTGCTCAGGGCGTGACAGCCCCGCAGTGCCCCCAGGACCTGACAGCCCCATCCCTCCGCCCCCGCCTTCTCCACTCCCCCCTCACTCTTTTTCTCCTTTCCCCACCTGTGCGCCTGTGCTGGCTCCCCAGGCACTGTGTGGGTGGCTGCTGCGTCCCTCTGCCCACCCGCCAGTGGTGGCGAAAAAAAAAGCCCCCCCAAAAAGTGGGAGACAGAGATAAGTTGGAGGTCAAAAAAGATTGGAGGCTGACAAAAGTAGGAGGCCAAGTAAAAGTGGGAGGTTGAAGAAAAAGTGGTGGCCAACAAAAAAAGTGGTGGCCAAAAAAGTTTGAGGCCGAGGAAATTGTAGGGGGAAACGGAGGCTGAGGCTGAAAGAGTCTGACAAAGAGTGGAGGCCAAAGAAGGGTGGGAGGCTGAAAAAGAACGGGAGGCTGAGTAAAGAAGGTAGAGGCCAAAAAAGATTGGAGATGGAGTAAACAAGGAAGGCTGAAAAAGAAATGGAGGCTAAAAATGAGAAGGAGGCTGGAAAGGAAGTGGAGTCAAAGAGAAGATTGGAGGAAGAGAAAAAGTAGGGGCTGAAAAGGAGTGCAAGACGAAAAAAGGGTGGGAGGTCAGAAAAAATAGAGGCTGCAAAAGGGTAGGAGGCCAAGAAAGGGTGGGAGGGGGAAAGAAATGCAGAGGCTGAAAAGGGTAGGAGGCCAAAATAAAGTGGGAAACCAAATGAAAAGTAGAGGCCAAAAAAAAAGTGGAGGGTGAAAAGGGGTGGGAGGTTGAAAAGGGGTGGGAGGCTGGAGGGCAAGTAGGTGCCAGAAAAAACGTGAAGGCCGGAAAGGGGTAGGAGGCCAATAAAATTGTACGGTGAAATGGAGTCTGAGACTGAAAGTGTCTGACAGAGTGGAGGCCAGAGAAGAATGGGAGTCTGAAAAGGAACAGGAATCTAATGAAAAAATGGAGACCATTAAAAAGAGTGGAGGCTAATGAAAAGCTGAGGCCAAAAAGGGGTAGAAGGCCAAGGGGGGGTGGGAGGTGGGGAAAAAAGTGAAGGGCAAAGAGTGGGATGCTGAATAAATAGCGGAGCCCCCTAAAAATGTGGAGGTTGAAAGGGAGTGGGAGGCTGAAAAGTGGGAGGTGGTCTTGGTGGAGCAAGGCTCCCACCTTGCCCTGCCATGCCCTGTCCTGCCTTGTCTTGCCTTGCCTTGCTCAGCCTTGCCTTTCCTTGCCCTGCCCT